AACAGTCCACTCTTAATACATTTCTTTCATTGTGGAAAAAATTTTTCACTAAAATTATGTTGTTTACATAAATTTATAATGGGTTTATTGTTATTTTAAGTAAGTTAATGTTTCAATTTTTTAGTTTCAATTTTTAATATGGTAAATATTGTTAGACAACCACATAAACAGAAACTCTTTGGGAGCTTCAATAATTTTTAAGACCATAAAGGGGTCTTGAGACCAAAACAATTTGAGAACCACTGGTCATGATTTGGTTATCTGAGATCTTTCAAATAGTGCACAGGTTATTTGGCAGTTTCAGAGAAAAAGATAATTTTATCTGCCAGACATTTTTAAAATTAATATAAAATAATAACTTTACTAAAAATCCCTTTGCATTCTTAAAAATTGCTCATGTGCTACAAGGTCTATCATTGTCAGTTCTTCTTGGCTAATGTTCAGTTTGTTAACCAAAGGATGTTTGTTTTTCATTTGTGTGTTATCATTGGTTAAATTTTTTTAATTAATTTTGGGCTGTGTTAGGTCTTTGTTGCTGCGTGCGGGCTTTCTCTAGTTGCGGCGAGTGGGGGCTACTCTTTGTTGCGGTGTGCAGGCTTCTCATTGCAGTGGCTTCTCTTTGTTGCGGCGCACGGGCTCTAGGCATGCATGGGCTTCAGTAGTTGTGGCACACAGGCTCAGTAGTTGTGGCTCATGGGCTCCAGAGCACAGGCTCAGTAGTTGTGGTGCACGGCCTTAGTTGCTCTGCAGCATGTGGGATCTTCCCGGACCAGGGCTGAAATCTGTGGCCCCTCTTAACCACTGCGCCACCAGGGAAGTCCCGTCATTGGTTAAATTTAAAATTTTCTTTTGGCTCAAAGGTGATTGAATCGTAAAAGTGGAAATAAAATAGTAAAATAAATGCTACAACTCAGAATACTATCATAAACATAGTACAGCTTTAGTGTTCATATAGTCTGAGTTTATATGTGTTAGAAAGTGATATGATTTGCATTAACGGCCGAAAAGAGAAGAGTGCAGACATGAAATACGATGATGACTGGAATTAACATTTTATTGGACCTGCAGTACCTTCATCCCTTGTCTCCAGAGGTGGTCTACTCTGAAATTTTGCCAAAAACTTAGTTACATGAAGTCATGAAACGAAGTACAATGATGGCCTTGGCAAGCCACAATTTTCCAGAACTGTAAAACAGTGCTTTCTAGGCTGAAAGTGATGAATTCTATCACTAAAGATGAGGAAGAAACCAGAACTGCTAAGGCATCATTCATAGTTGCATAGCACAAATGGGTATGTATGTCACACCTTTGACCAGAAGCTTATGAACCAGCCAAAAAGTTATTGAGAAGTTTTTTTTGGAGAAAAATCGGAATAAGTTACTGGTAGAATTACTGTATCAAAAGACACTGTTGGGGCTTCCCTGGTGGCGCATTGGTTAAGAATCCACCTGCCAATGCAGGGGACACAGGTTCAAGCCCTGGCCTGGGAAGATCCCACATGCTGTGGAGCAACTAAGCCCGTGCGCCACAACTACTGAGCCTGTGCTCTAGAGCCCATGAGCCACAACTACTGAGCCAACGTGCCACAACTACTGAAGCCTGTGCGCCTAAGAGCCCATGCTCTGCAACAAGAGAAGCCACGGCAATGAGAAGCCCGTGCATCACAACAGAGTAACCCCCGCTCGCCGCAACTAGAGAAAACCCGCACACAGCAACGAAGACCCAACACAGCCATAAATAAATAAATATTTTTTTAAAAAAGACACTGTTGGACATTATCAGTAGTACACAAGGTAAACAATTAATGCTGTTGTTTTGTGAAATATGAAATAGCAAGTGTTCCAGACTATGGTGATCCAAACTGTGTATGCTCTTAATGTGCAAACAAAAAGGGAGAACAAAGTATTCATTGTATCTCTTCTGTGTAATCACTTCTTAAAAATCTGTGTTACAGATACTCCATTTTGTTATTTTGTGAGCTGTGACATAAGCTGGAAAAGGAAGGGATATTGTGGTCAGTGCTGACTCAGCATCAGCTAAGTGTGCTGTAAGGAAGGACATTACAGTTTGAATAAAAAGAGGTTTGGGGGCTTCCCTGGTGGTGCAGTGGTTGAGAATCCGCCTGCTGATGCAGGGGACACGGGTTCATTCCCCGGTCCCAGAAGATTCCACATGCCACGGAGCAGCTGGACCTGTGAGCCATGGCCGCTGAGCCAGTGCGTCCAGAGCCTCTGCTCCGCAACAGGAGAGGCCACAACAGTGAAAGGCCTGCGTACCACAAGAAAAAAAAAAAAAAAAAAAAAGGGTTGGCCTTTATCAGCATTACTAACCAATTAGAGGACTCCCCTCTTTCCAAGTAGCAATACTTGACTCAGACTCAGTGGATACAACTTTTACTCTCATGACTCTAAGCCCAAATGTTACAGCTACCTGCTCCTAAGCTATTTATTCAGAGCACAGGCTCCGGACGCGCAGGCTCAGCGGCCATGGCTCACGGGCCCAGCCGCTCCGCGGCATGTGGGATCTTCCCGGACCGGGGCACGAACCCGTGTTCCCTGCATCAGCAGGCGGACTCTGAACCACTGTGCCACCAGGGAAGCCCGTTTTATGTTATTTTAATGGTTGGGGAAAATATCAAAAGAATGATATTTTGTGATGCATGAAAATTATAAAGTTTGGTGTTTCCATAAATAAGGTTTTACTGGAACATAACCACATTCATTGGTCTATATATTGTCTGTGGCTGCTTTCACACTACTGCAACGGACTTGATGAGTTGCAACAGAGACCATATGGCCTGCAAAGCCTAAAATATTTACTATCTGGCCTTTTACAGAAGTTTGATGACCCTTGAATTAGAGTAACTCCACTTTGATCCATCTTATTTATTGTTCTTCCCCATGGGAGTTCATTTGAAGAAAGGGTTCTACTGCCTTAAAAACAAATTTTGGTTTTTTTTCTAAAGTATGTAAACTTTTCCAAAGGTCAGCCCAAAGAGCTAGCGTTCTTGTTCTTTTGCCACTCTGAGGGCAGAGCAGAGTGGGGTTCACAGTTCAGTTTGAAAATACAGATTGGGTAACTCAAGGCAATATTTGAAGATACATTATGGGTGATAAAAAGATTAACCATTTGTGCCACCAGAGATTTTAAGTCTGATAACAGGGATAAGACAGTAAATTCTTCCTGCTTATTTTTAAAATTTTTGCATATTTTTCTCAAAAGAGAAATTAAACATAGCTTAAAAGGAGGGCATCTGACTCATCTTCCTGTTCCCTCAAATTAATAGCCAGTGAATTGCTACCAGTCCAGCAAATTCCCAGTCTTCCTCATTTTTCCAGACTCAAAGATATATTCCCTAAAAGCGTTCGTCTAATTTAGCTACCTCTCCTCTGTTTCCATAGCAACCAATACATTCCTGTAATTATTAATTTGCTTCGTGTCTCTATAGTAAACTATAAGTAAGCTTCTTTGGTGTCTTCCTCTCTAAACACAGGAGGGACTATTTGTAATTTTAGGTAATATAGCACAGTATTTCAGAGCACTGGCTTTGGAGTCAGACCTATCCAGCTTTCTCCAGCTGAGTGAATCTTTCCTCATCTATGAAATGGGAATAACACTAGTAATGATGATGGTAATTTAGTTTGTTGTAAACCTTAACTGAGACGATGCATGTAAAATGCTTAGTTGAGGTTTTGCCACATAGCACTATGTCATCTGACTGTTGTTATTGTATCTCTAATATCTGACATAATGTCTTTTTTAAGTATTAAATATCTTGTTGAATGGAATCAAGGTTTATTTTAAACATTTACCAACTTTGTGCTTTAGAGAAGACTAAAAGTTAAAATTAAAGCTTGCCACTTATCTAGAAAGAGTTGTCCCATGGATTTTCATTCAATGGTGATGATGATGTTTCTGTTCGATGTTCTTTTTTTTTGGTCTGTTCCAAAACCTGTGCTCTTTCCACATAGCTTATATAAAGTTGAGTTATAAATGGAATGCTTACTATGTGCCAAGGACTGTTCTAAATGCTTTATATTTATTTAGTCCTCATAAGAACCCTATGAGTTAGTTATTAGTTATTATTCCTGTTTTTAGATGAGACAGCCAAAGCAGAGAAGGATTATAATTTGCCATGGGTTACCAAGCTAGTAAGAGGCAGAATTGGGATTTGAATCCACAGTCTGGCTCCAGAGTTTGTGTTCTTAACCTACACAAACCTACCTCTCTTATTTGCTATATGCTTTATGTAGGCATATTTTAGGTAACGTTCTTGCAGTTTTAAGTTTGTTTACAGTGCTGGCATATGATACATAATACTCATTTGTGCTTGAATGAATTAATCAATATGATGGTATGATAAATTTATAATTGATATAGTATGATCATTGATTAATTCTTCTTGGCTTCAAGTAATAACTATTTTTCACTGTAGGTCCTTTTCGGAGCTATCTTTAGCCAGGATTAGCTATTATGAAGCAATCTATTCTAATGCTACAAAAATTTGGACAAAGAAATTGCTTAACAAATCTACTTATATTCCTAAATTCATTTTTTCTTGCTGGTACTCACTCAAAAAAAACAGTCTGTGCTTTATTTAGTTTTTCCTTCTTTGGGTTACTCTGTTGAATTGTTTGTTGATTTTTTTTTTTAATGTTACGTGGCATTGTGACGGATAATTCAATTCTTTATAGAAGAAGCCTTAAAGAATTTGGGCATACTTGTCATAATGTTGAATTTGGCCTCTAAAACTTCTGAAATACAGTTGACCTTTGAAACATAGGGGAGTTAGAGGCACCCACCCACGTATAACTTCACAGTCAGCCCTCTCTGTTCTCAGTTCCTCTTCCCGGGCTTCAACCAACCCTCCATTGTGTAGTGCTATAATATGTATTTATTTTTAAAAATCTTCATCAAAGTGGAACCCCACAGTTCAAACCCTTATTGTTAAAGCGTCAACTGTAGTAATGATCTTGAAATTTACTTTATATCTCTTTCAGAATTCTCCACTTTACCAGTACTTACAGGATCTGGGGCACACAGACTTCGAAGTATGTTCTTCTCTGTCACCAAAACCAGAAAAATGCACAGTGACAGAGGGACAACAAAAGCCTCCTGCAAGAGCCCTGCCAAAAGTAAGAAGGCATACTCATTCTCTTTGACTCAATCTTTTGTTCTTTACTGATTATTTAAACTGCCTTTACCCTTATCCTTGCAAAAAACAAACACCTTGTTGGCACCTCCATGTTCTCCTTTGCACTGGTAAGACTTTAATTTTTATTTCATCAGTAGTATGTGACTGTTTAGATAAACATGAATCCTTGCTGTTTTGGACTATCTCATGGGTAGTTTGTATAATGAATTAAAATTAATATGATTGAAGATTAAAATATATTACATATTTAAAAATTGAAGTTATCTGGAAGGAACCAGAAAAATAAACTAAAACCTTAATGAGAACCCAACTACAGGATTCCTATAGTAACTAGAATTTTTTTCTTTGAGAGAGATTGGGATTGACATATATACACTAATATGTATAAAATAGATAACTAATTTAAAAATAAAGAAAAAAATAGTGGGATAGCAAATGCAGGCAAAACAAAACAAAAATTTTTAAGAGAATGCAAATTATAAGAAAGCAAATTAATACTTAATAAACAGTTTCAAGGATATATGATGGAGTGGGTGTATTTACCTCAATTTCTGATGCCCTTTATATCTGCGGTATCATATACTTTTATACAGTAAATATTTCATAGTTGATGTACATCATTGTGAGGCTGAGATACTAGAAGAAGCCACCAATAATTATGTTCTATAAAATACATTTACTAGATTGATTCATGTTCTATTAACTGTATTTATTAAAATAAGAAAAATTCCAGTATATTTGTTTTAGCAAAAGGAATTCTAATTTAACAGAAAAAAATATAACCAGATTACCTCATTTCTCAAGCATTCTAGTTTAATCAGTGTTTTATTATAATTCAAGTTCCTTTTGGGAGGAGGATTTTAAAGTTTTCAATTAGTCATTTACTCTGTGTGATAGAAAGGAAAAGATCTTTCCTTCTGTACTTCTTAGAAAAACTCTAAAATGTGAGGTAACCAAGCTGGGCCCAATTGCAACAGCAGAGTAAACACCAGAGTAATGGGGTTTTTTTTCCACTAACACTCACAAGGTGGGAATTAGGGGAGCAAGAGTCCTCTATACTTAAACCCTTTCTTCTCCTTGCTCCTTTCAAATATGAATGTTCCTGGGAAAAGTTTTGAAAGCAAAACCTAAAGATATATCTAAAAGATTATTGGGACTTCCTTGGTGGTCCAGTGGCTAAGACTTTGCGCTCCCAATGCAGGGGGCCCGGGTTCAATCCCTGGTTGGGGAACTAGATATCACATGCCGCAACTAAGAGTTCGCATGCCACAGCTGAAGATCCTGCATGCCACAGTGGGGATCCTGAGTGCCGCAACTAAGACCCGGCATGGCCAAATAAATAAATATTTTTTAAAAAATAATAAAAATAAAAGATTATTTACAGACTAAAATTTGAATTTGAGATTACTTGGCAACAAAAGACAAAGAATGGGCCAAGGGATAGTGCTGGGGCAGGAGATGGACATTGACCTCTTGTGTGTGTGAGTGTGTGTGTGTAAACTTGGGTTTTGTAAGTATTTAATTTTCATTTATGACAGGTATTTTTACATATAGAAATGTTGTTATTAATTTATAAATAAATGAGAGTTTAAAATTTCATCCTCTTAGAAATAGAGGAACAGTAAAAAGCATAGCCAGAGGGTGTTTTTCAAAATTACCACATGTCTAGAAAATTCATTTAGTCTTCATGTTACACATTTCAACTGTACAAGCTATATCTTTCTAGAATGGAGTTTTCCTAGATATGAAGCAGCTGAATTTTAGAAAGATTTGTTATTCCTTCTTAGGGGATATATTTTTAGAATTGCCTCCCAAATTCTGTTCAAGCTATGAAGTAGCAGTTATTTTCTTTGGAAAGCAAATTTTCTGTATGAGTTCATGATGAAACAGTCATTTTTAAACTTTTTTTTAAAATGTGATTGTTAAAGTACTTATTGAGTAGTCTGTACTGGTATTCTTTTCATGAATATTCATTCTCTGTATATTTTTCTGGTTTCTGTTCCTGTGATTATTCTTAAACATTCCTCCCATTCCCATTCAGCATCAGTCCTCTTTGCTTCATCTGTTTTCTCTGAGCTATTTCATCTACTTTCTTACCCTCATTGGCCACTTTTGTTTATTCTCCATTTTCACTGAGTTCCAGATACTTGTTAGACATTTCCATTTGCCTGTGCTCCAGGCAACTCAGATTCAACATGTCTAAAACAACTTTTTTTTTCTCAGCATTCCTGAAACAAAATATTCTTTCTGTATTCCCAAATTACCACCCTCTCAATTATCTTGCAATTTCCCATCACTCCCACATTGATTTGGTCATTAAGTGACTCAACTTCTTTGTCTCTAAAAGCCAATCCTTACTTACTACCATTTTTGCTACCCTAGTTCAAGCCTTTATCATTATTTAGCTGGACTGTTATATATCCTTCTAATCATGCTTCTTGGCAGCGCTCATTCCCTGCTAGTACAGCCTCTGTACTGTTGCCAGTTATTTTTCTAAAATGCTGATTTTTATTGTTTCATTTCCTTATATAAAAACCTTTGGTGACTCCTCACAGTCTATAGGATAAATTCTAAACTGTTATTAAGACCACAGTCTTTTACAATCTCAGTGTACCTTTTAAACTTCATTATTCTTCCCTTGGGTCTTAACTATCCCAAACTATGCCACCATCCCCAATGGCATGTACTTCCATGGCTCTCTCCTTTATTCATCCTTTCCCCTTGCCTGGAGTGTTCTTCCCTCTGTTGTTATTAAATTCCTATTCATCTATTAGGGCTTAGCTCCAGTGTCAGCTCCTCTTGACCTCCTTTTTCCCACACTTTTTCAGATTTTACATTGGTTTGTAATTATTTGTACTGTCTCTTCTAAGTTCTTGAAAACAGCAGTTATGTATATTCATCTTTGTTCCCATGACCCTTTTTCAGTACCTGGAATATAATAGTCACTCAATGAATGTAAGCTCCATTTACTGGCCTGCTCAGGAAATGGGCTATTAAGGTAAATTGAATTTTTGATTGATTCAATAATATAACTTTTATTTCAATTTGAGACAGTTTTTCTAAAATTGATTAAAATATCTTTCTGCCTTAGCATTGTAGAATGAAATGCTCTTAATATTTGAGAACTTAGAGTACGTGGTTTTCATTTTGAAATACATACCCAATACCATCGTCATGTGGACATAGGTAGTATATAGTGTACCCAAGATACGTAGGTTTACAGGTCTCGTTCCAAACTCACTGAATCTGAATCTTTAGTTGGGGGGCCCCAGGAGTATGTTTCTGACTGAATCCTCCAGGTGATTCTGATGTGTGAGTAAATTGGGGATCTAATAAGGAGGCTGCAACACGCTGGCAAAGCATATAATATAACCTAGATGACTTTTTTCTTTCTTTTTCTGATAAAAATTATGATTAATTAGAAGTTATTTGAAGTTTTTCTGCTATTGAGGTGTGGTTTAATAATCCTTTATAATGTCATTCATCTCCTTCAGCGAGGCATCCTGTTAAAAGTGGCTGAAACCATCAAAAGCTGGATTTTGGTTCAGTGCAGTAAGAATGATGACTTACTTCACAAGTTGGTGAGTGTTCACCTCTTTTTTGTCACTTTTCAGGACTCCGGTTTATTAGTGAGAAAATTGATGAATCCGAATTTGTTTTGCTACTGATTTGGGCAGTGATTGATTTTGATTAGAAATTCTGGGCTGTTCTTCAAAAGGAGACTGTCTGCTTCATGAAGTGTTAAAGTTTGTTTGTATCACCTAAGGGGAAAAAAAAAGGAAAGGAAGTTCTTCAGTAACTGGGGATCTTTGCATTTGGACTCATTAGTATTATCTTCTAAGAGGTTATTAGCCACTGAGAATAGGATATTCTAGTAATTATTGAAGCCCTATTTGTTAGATTACTCATTTCCTGCTGCCGTCTTCCTCCATTGACAGGTATTCCTCTCTGTGAGGAAGGGAATAGATCTGTTAGTGGGATCCTCCCCCTTTTCATTAGGAACTTGACTCTCTCTATTCCACAGCCTATGTTTACAAAGTTTGGGCAAAATCAAGAGTGGTTCCTCCCTAATTTATTTATCATTAATCTACCACTCTCTGACAACTTCATATATAAAATTTAGTCTTCCAGGACTGATAAATCACAGAATTTCCCAAAGACTAGCTTGATCTCTGAGCCCCAAGAGGGAGTACATCTAGGTCTAGGTACTAGGTAATATAGCTAAAAAAATTAAAGTTTTAAAATTCTTATGACTCTCACAAGTAAGCAGATTTCAGAATCTTCTGCTGCCCTGTGACCTTAAGATGATAATTATCATTCTTGTAAACTATCATCTGTCAAAGGATGTTTACAAAGTGCTTTCACATTTCCATTTGTTAATCCAAACATTGTATAAGGTTTAGTGTGTTTTACCATTTGGAAGCCTGAGGTTCAGACATTTCAGTTTGGTTAAGGATACTTATTAAGTGAATTGTTCAAGAATGTTCAGCTAGAAAGTGAGTCAGAATTTGAACTCGGGTCTCCTGATTTCAAATCCCAGGCTCTTTTCATTATAAAGTACCACCTTTCTAGCTTGAGTATTACTATATTTTGACTGACTAAAATTACTTTTTTAGCAATCTATATGGGCGAGTTCTCTGTTCAGGGTTTCATCTTCATAGGTGTGTTGAAAAGGTCAACGAAGTGTCTTGTCATCTACGTAGACAGCATCTCTAGCAGGTGGAGCCATCCTCATTCTTCAGTGATACTAGGTCTGTGGTAAGGTATATGTATCCATATACATTTTTCTGTGCTTTAATCATAGTCTGCATAGTCCTGATCTTTTCATTCTTGGTTCTTTATCACTGGCCACATGCTAAATGTCATATTTCACTGTAAAGTACCAACTTCTGAATGCATCCCTTTTGTGCCTATATTATGCAGAATTGTAGGAAGTACATTACTGAGAAATAGTTTACTAGTAATGGAACAAGGAATTGCCCAGTTAGCATCTGGCATGAGATTGCTTGACTTTTCCCCTTGATTATGAAATATTTTAAATTTTGTTATCTATACAGACATTGAACCAGTCTCTTCCTTTTATAAAGATACTGGCAATTGCTCCATGATATCTGAACATTTTACCATTGTTCATTTTCATTAAGGTAGTACTTCTCTTCTTAAAGATTAAAAAAAAATTCCTTTATGGCAAGTATGATGTTAGTGGTATTGGCACTTTTTAAGTGCTTTTTAGCCTATAAAGTGCTATCATACATTATTTCACTTGATCCTCATCAGCTTTATTAAATAGCACTATATATTAAAAAGCGTGTAAGATCATTGAAGTATATTGACACATGAATAAGTTCTCTTCTCCATCCCTAGGGGCCAAAACAGAAATCTCTATTCTTTAGCTGTGCTTCTCATAGTCTTTTCATTCCATCCAAGCGGAATTCTTCCTAAGTTATCTTCTCATGCTATTTCTCTGTTTAAATTCTAAAAAGATCCCTACTACCTATCAAATCAAGTCCAATTCATCACTTTGGCTGGCATGAAAGAGTCTGCGTAATTTGGCCCTAATCTACCTTTCCAGCTTTATCCCGCAATATTTTCATCAGCCCAATACCCTCTTCCTTTTCCTTTATTCCTTGCCTATTCTCTGTGTCTATATTTGTACTATTATACTGTGAAATTTGTTCCCATTTTTCTATATTTGGAATCTTTCCAATAAGCAGTACTAGCTCTTCCTCAAGGCCTTTCCCAGAAACTTCAGTCTGTTGGATCTCTTATTTTCTGCAACCACCTTGTAATAATTATCTATGCTATGTTCTATAAGTTTCTGTATTCTGTGAGCTTTTCTTTATTGTATTTTTAATTATTTCATATGTACTAACAACACTAACAGCTAACACTTACATAGCGCTTACTGTGTGCCAGATATTCTTAGTAGTTTATAAATACTTACTTATTTAATCCTTGCAACAACCCTGTGAAGTGGGTACTGTTATTATCCTCACTTTGCAGATGAGGAAACTGGAACAGAAAGGTTATTAACTTGCTTAAGTTGTGGGACCAAAATATAAACCCAGACACTAAGTCTTGATACTTGTTGAGGGTGAGCCAAAGTTCACATAGCACACCTCCCCCCAGCACAGAGCACCCATAGTATTAATACTGCCTCGAATCACACTGGTTTTGGGGAGGCTTTATCCCAGTTCTGCAGCAGGTCTGGTGCCAAGGAGTGGTGTTGAAGAAAGTGAGTTCCTGATTAAGCGGCATGCCCATAAGAGGGTCTGTGAAGAGGAAGAGTTCCCAATCTGCACTAACAGCCTCCCCGTCTCTGTCAGCCTTAGCCTTCATTTAATTAGGCTTCTTTAAACTTAGCCCTATACAATTACTTAGAGGTCTCATAAAAGGCCTGATATCAAGTTTTTGTAGCACAAGTTTTATTTTTAGTACTTGTATTTGAATATGGTCATGTCTGATTGGGGAATCCAAACCAAATTATAAGGCTAATATGTGAAGGTTTATTTTAAGGATTACTGGAAAAGCTACCATGCTCCACCCCCTGCCCTCCTGCCTTCCATTGCCCACCTGCTGTCGCTACCCTGCAGCCCACATCCCCCTCTTCACCCCTAACAGTAATATAAAGTGAGTTGTGCTGTTCTCTCTTTAGGAAAGTGGGGTGGAATATCGAAAAACTAAGTAGTTCCTAATGTTAGGATTGTAAGAGAGAGGAGGCAGTAGTTCAAATATGAACCATAAAAGTGCTGCAGAGGTATGTGCAGGGTGTATCAGTAGATGGTAAAAAAGCCTTATAGGCTAAAAGGAAGATCAGCATTCCACTGAGATTTTTTTTTTTTTAGATAATTATAAGAAATATATCCAAATAGTCCTAATATTAAAAATATTCTTCTCCTTCTCTAAAAGTGATGTATAGCTCATGACTAAGAGGATATGTGCTCTTAGTGTATGGATCACTGCATAGTGTATGGATCTGTAGTGTATAGATCACTGCTTAAGTCCTCATGGTTAGCTCGGGCTAGAATCTGTGGTGTGGGAATTATTAAGAAGAGCAAACCCACTGCCCTCAAACTCTAGACCTAACTGGTTTTACTTTCATTTCTAAGGGTCTTGTCCATTAGAAGTTCTCTTTATTTTTATCATACAATAGTATCTCCCTATTCCTAAGTTTAATACAACATAAAACTACATTTTATAGTAGAGAAGACTATATTCAGGGAAGAAGAACCAACTACCAAAGACTTAGGGTTTGAAATCATAATCCTGGAAAGTTAATCTCTTGGAGCTTCAGTTTTCTCCTCTATAGAATGGACAGGAGGATGATAATGTACATCACAGGGTTACTGTGAGAATTGCTCTAACATTGCTACCTCATCTCTCACCCCTCCACCAGGTACACTCTGCAAAAACTAAAATTGGTGACTTGCAGGTCCCCAAACTAGAAGAGACTTGCTTTCATTCTATCTCATCCTGTTCTTCCAACTCTTTCATCTGGTTCATCCTTTAAGATTCAGTTTAGGCATCACCTCTTTTACTTTCTCTTTGTTGCAGGTTTTGTTCCTTCTATGCCATTTTCATAATAACCTAGTTCTACCTCATCACACTTCTTTGCACTTACTTTTCAGTCCTCTGCTTTAGACTATCAACTCTCTAAGAGTAAAGTCTTGTATGTCTTGTTCATTTTTTTATGCTTTTGATGTCAAGCATGTTGCCTGGTATGTATTCCTTGATAGGTAGGTAGAAGGAAAAGAGGGAGGAATAAATAAGCTGGTATATGTGAAAGCATTTTGTAAACTATAAAGTGCTATGCACATGTTTTTGTCATTTTGTATTTATTCCTTAATGATGTATTTTTAATACATTCTAAATGTCCATTTTTAGAAAGCCTTGATCCTGCTAATGTAATTCTTAGATATTGGCTATATTGTTACAGCATTCAGGGACAGCATCTTCTGTTACAGGATTATATTTTCCATGTTGTTTTCCAACAATTTAATTAATTAGGCTTAACTCAACAGGTTTATTAATCTGTAATTACTTCACATCTGTTTATTAAAAATATATATTTCACTCACATGTGGCTCCATAATGTCTACCTCAGTCTTTATTGTTTCACATTTATAATGAAAATAAAACCCTCTCCATCATACTGAAAATAGATTGACTATTGTTTCTTCTTCTTGGAATCTGTACTGAAAATAAACACCTCTAATTTTATTAGCATGGTAGGAGCTTAATATTTAATACAAAATTATGCATGTATTAATACCTCTTTTCCGGTCTTTTAATGTCAAGGATATTGGATTCCGACTCGACTCACTACATACCATCCTGCAACAGGAAGTCCTGTTACAAGAGGATGTGGAACTGATTGAGCTACTTGATCCCAGTGTCCTGTCTACAGGGCAACCTCAACAACAGGAAAATGGACACCTTCCAACACTTTGCTCCCTGGCGACCCCTAATATTTGGTACTGTCCAGAAAACATCTATCTGTTGCTTACATACAGAGTATTACCAGAGGAAGTCCATCATCACGCTCTCCATTATAAAGGCATTATAAACATTTTAGCATTTTAATTAATGTAATGATATGCCAGAGGTTAAAAAAAAAAAGTCCCTTTCTAAAGTAAATACTATTTCAAGTGAAGGTGGAAGAAATATCCAGTTTGATTATTATATACTTTCAACTCAGTATAGTTAGTGCTGTGTTTAACAACCCAATAAGCAGGTATAACATATGCCAAAAAAAAAATCTCTCTTACCCATATACCTATACACATGTGCTCATGAAGGCCTAGCCAGTGCTTTATGTTTCTTTACCATTAAAAGATTATGTAATAATTACATTGTAGAGGCACCAAGGATAGGACATGGGGCATGGAGGTAAACAGTTGATTCCTGCTTTGTTGGGTGAGAAGAGATCATAGACAATAGACAATTCAAACTATCTTAAAACTTGTCAACCACTTAAAGTATTTGGGTCTAATGTAGAAGTCTCAGGCCATAATCTGTTAAAAAGAAATATATATGTATAGTAAAAAGGGATTATATATACAGAACTGTTAATATCCTCTTCCTACTAAAGTATGAGTTTATTAAATGAACTAAATTATTGCTCGAAATGTTCAAGTTATATGGGCAATTACATTCATTGGCCTCAGTGTGCTGAATTTATCTGTCTTTCCTGTCACATTGACAAATGCTTCATATTGTAATAGATAGCAAAGTATGATGTTTTCCAAATATGTAGTCACTCAGATATCATGATAAAGTAAAGCATCTTATCCTTTAAAAATATAAGAACTTAAGGAGCTGCTAGAAGGAAGCATAGGTTTTAAGAATTTTATAACTTTATATTCAAGTTTTCTTTGACCTCAAATGTCATTAAGCAATTCTGAGCCCTATAAATACGTTATAGACTTTGCTATAAATACATAAAAGTATATGATGAGATTTTGCTTTATGATATTACCAATATTGTCTAACAGTAAAAGATTCCAAGGGAAATTAGGGCAGGCAAATATTTATTAAGAAGCATTCTTACATTTTCTTTATAGTTTGACTATATAACTGTCTTCAAGTAGTGTTGATGTTGTTTTTCGGATATCCTCAGATACAGCTCCCCTATATTTACCTCTTTCTTATATTTTCACATTTTCATCTAAGCCTTCATTGCTTGAATGATGTATGTTAGTCGGTAGATTTGTAATTGACCTAAATTTTAAAAATTTCATACATATTTTGACTTCAGTTAAAGCAGTGTAAAAATACAAAGCTTGTCCATATTACGGTCTGCAATAAATATGTACATTCCAGAATTGTGGTGATGGTTATTTAAAATTAATGATAAAATAAAAAATAAAATTAATGATAAAATAAAATAAGATGGGGCTTCCCTGGTGGCGCAGTGGTTGAGAGTCTGCCTGCTGATGCAGGGGACACGGGTTCGTGCCCTGGTCTGGGAAGATCCCACATGCCGCGGAGTGGCTGGGCCCATGAGCCATGGCCACTGAGCCTGCGCGTCCGGAGCCTGTGCTGTGCAACGGGAGAGGCCACAACAGTGAGAGGCCCGCCGACCGCCAAAAAAAAAAAAAAAAAAAATTAAAATAAAATAAAATAAGATGACTTTATTCAAAGCAATTACTCATGAAGTATATATTATTTCTAATTGGAAAAATGCTTATATTTTCTTGAGGTATTATATGTTTTTGCACAGATAATTAAAGTCTAATTTTAGGGGAAAAGACCTCATGATATCTCCGAATATTAAAGGTTTTTAGTATTAAAAATTAGTAAAACTTAAAGTTTTTTAAAATTTTATATTTGTAAAATCAGATTTTAAAATCTGTAATTTGTTTTTAGGTTAAAGAGCACATATCTTAAAAAAAAAAAAAAAAAAAGGTTTTTTCAGAAGATACCTATTTATGTCCTTTACCTAAACTGATTAGCTCTAGACAGTGGGTGTCTAGCAACTAGATAGTGGTGCTAGATATTTTTTAACTGTTTCATATTACTTTTTTAAATGTCATATTTTATAAAGTCATACTTTATAAAGAAGCTAGCATTTTATCTATTTTAGGAAACCTGAATTGCTGACTAAAGTAACTCATCTTTCTCTGGACTGATGGATATCATTTTTTTGGCTTTTCTATTCTAGGGATGTCTCAGTGCTATTTGCCTTCATTAGTTTGCTCATTATGCTTCCCACTTGGTGGATTGTATCTTCCTGGCTGCTATGGGGAGTGATTCTATTTGTTTATCTGATCATAAGAGCCTTGAGATTATGGAGGACAGCAAAACTACAAATAACCCTAAAAAAATACAATGTCCATTTGGAAGATATAGCAACAAATAGCCGAGGGTTTACTAACCTCGTGAGAAAAGCTTTACGTCTCATTCAAGAAACTGAAGTCATTTCCAGAGGATTTACACTGTGAGTTCATTTTTCATTTTATTTTTTAAATCTTTTCTACTACATAGTTAAATTAGAATGTTTATTACCTATTTTCATTTTTGTTTTGCATTTACAGAAAAAACTAGGTTTCTCTTTAGCACTTATTAAAGTCTGTTAACTGCTAAGTGAAGGAATAAATACATTATATATTAGATTTAATAAGTGGTATGATTCTTTTTTCTACTTTGAGAAACCAAAGTGCTTTGAGAATCGTGATTATTTCTGTGTGTTACCATGTGATTACATAAGATAACATAGAGAGAGGATCCTCACATGCAGTAGTTACCCAATAAATACTTGTTCTCTTTACTCACCGTCAGATGCTTTCTTTACTCAGTTTACATGATAGATGTGTCTGATAAGAATTCATTTTGAAAACTCTTGCAATGTATTAATAATATTCTTTAGGTTAATATTAGTAGATATTTTGGCACTGATACTCTCAGATACTCTCACTGATATTTAGTATGGGAAATTAAATATTCAGCAGTCTAGCTGTAAGTGTATTAAGCTACCAGATGGATAGACTAATTATTCTCTTATTAAAGGGAAAACACCAATCATGTTCCATATTCTATGCCAGACAATTTTGCATACAACTAAAGGCATACAATTATAAGCGGTAGAGCAAATGTTCAGGTTCATTCGTTCTGCCTCAAAAGCTTATTTCCCATACACTAGGCTGCCAGCTAAGCACTTACAGATGACAGTTGTAGTATAATATATTTAATAATTTATATAATGTCTGCAACCTATAGGTGGGAGAAAGTAAGTATATGGCAGAGAATAATTGTTGCTCTTAATTGGTTGTATCTGGAAAGTCATGAAAAGAGGGGGGCAGAAGAACCTTGGGTAGTCATTGCATCCTCCACTCTGCTCACTCTAGAGTAGTACCTAAACAATCTTGACATAAAAGCTGTATTTGGAATATCATGAAACAACAGGAAAGTAGAAGTCTCCAGTAATCCTCTCATTCTTCACTCTGTTGTGTTCTGGAACAGTGTTGTAAACTCCAGAGACATGAGAGAGATTTTATAACTTCTCTTTCTGCTTAATTCAAAATGTAACAGTCCTTAGTCTGTTAATTTTGGTCCTTCCATTGTAGTTAAAGTCCACTTTTGTTGATAGAGCGTAGCAAATATTGAGTGTCAAATTTTAAAAGTTAAAAATCGTACTAAGTAAGTAATATAGCTCCTTTTCATTCTGGACTTGCACAAGAGGACTGACAGGTTAAGCAAAGTGGCTCTGTGTCCAATTAATGCTTAGGCCTGTATAGAGGATTCTGTGTCTTTTGTCACTGTCCCACTTTTACCCATATGTCTAGAATTGGCATGAAGAGCTAAAATGGGCCCGTTAGGCATGATTTCCCTCTGGATTATGACTTCTGTCTATTCAAATGCAGACAGACAGAAAAATTTTTGGAACAATTGTACTTCACTTGTCTCCATCTAACTGGAAAATGGATTGAAAAGATTATGAGGGATAATAAACTTTGAATCATAATTTTTTAGAAATATTTTCATTTTTAAAACTGAGTTAGTAAAATGGAACACAAACGATAGTGTCCATATATTGAAAATATTAGTGCTGTTGTATTCTGCCTCAACTTTTCCTCTCTAGCAAATAATTTAACCCTTCTTTGCCTCATTTCTTTATTTTAAAATAAGCCTATCTGTCATTGTCCTGTTTTTTATAGATTTTTAATGCCTGAATATGTTTAGTTTGGTTTAACATTTTTTTAAGTTATGAGTTAGATGTCTTATTTTACAAATTTGTGGTTATAGTGTAAGAAATTTATAAATTCCAAATACTTTGTTTTACTATTAGGAGAGGTTTCTAGTTAGGTGAAAAACTTATTGCCTGGAAAACTATGTAATATGAAATCACTCATAGTTTCATTTATAAAAGCATAATACATTACATGGTGTTGTTGCAAATAGGTACTCCCCATTTATCTTTGGAAAAGTGCTTATGAAATGTGCCTCCTCTTGAACAGTTTTGAGAGTAGCTATGCTACTATGTAGTAACCCTTACTTTGCCTTTCTACTTGCATTCCCCTGTTGGCCACTGGTCCTGTTATCTTTCTGCGTCCCCTACTTCATTTTGAGTAGGTAAGTGCCAGTGGCTGCAGGTGGGTAAGTCATTTTACCCTACTTTTATGAATGTACAGAATGTATTTCTATACAGTATTTGATTGTTCTGTACAAATGACCAAAAATACGATTGATGAACATATGTAAATGCATATTAAGAATGTGAAAGTGTTTATAATTAAGGCTTTCATACTTACTGTAGACAGGTTTTGAAAACTAAATGTAAAGTAGTACCACTTTAGTATATTCTGGCAGATAGAGTGTCTATATCAAAAAGTTACAGTTTCTTACATAAATATTCCTACAGTTCTACTATATTTCAATTAAAATTTGTTGTTTCCCCATATCAGAGGAAGCCTTTATTCTTTGAGATTTTAAATTTTCATTTGTCTTTTTTCTGGTGGCTATATATGTGTCAGGGAAATATCTATTTATGAGACCTGAGTTGGGATATTTATAAGCATTTTCTAATGAAAATCATGAAAAAGGAATTTTTTTCCTAAGTTTAATAGAATTGTGGATTTAGAAAACAAAAACTTTAGGACACCTGTACAGTTGTATCACATTTTACTTTTCAAGTTTGCTTGACAGGGTCAGTGCTGCTTGCCCATTTAATAAAGCTGGACAGCATCCCAGTCAGCATCTCATCGGTCTTCGGAAAGCTGTCTACAGAACTGTAAGAGCCAACTTTCAAGCAGCAAGGCTAGCTACCCTATATATGCTGAAAAAATATCCTTTTCTGTCTATATGTAAGAATAAACAATGTTTCCAGAGTCCTGAATATAGATATCATAGCTGCATCCTATAAATGTTAACTGTAAGCTGAAATTGCCTATTTTGAAGCTGATTTCCATCATCACTTCTATTTTAAAACTAAGGGAATGACAATAATAGACAGGAAGAAAGTTCTGCTCTTATGTGGCTCATTTTTAACAAGGAAAACACTTGAAGTCCCTCCCTTCACTGGTCCAAAGAATAAAGTCAAAAGAGCTTGGCTTCCCTAGGTCAGACATTTTTTCAAATTACTGAACATGACAAATTTGCGTCATGACATAGAAATAAACGGGCAACAGGAAATCCTTCCCCTTTCAAAAAACAGAGGCTCTAGGGTCAGATTGGCTGTCTAAATTTTGGCTGAATCAGTTACTGTGTAGGTGACCGTAAGCAAGTTTCTTCATTCTCTGTACCTTGCTTTATTTATTGGTAAACTGACAATAATAACAAAATCTTCCTGACTGCTTTTGTTAGACCAAATGAATTGGTGCATATAAACTGCTTAGGCAGTGTCTGGTATATAATAAGCACTTAAAGACTGCATGACAATAAGTCTGTCTCGTAAATTTACTAAATCAGGAAATTAGGTCTGTTAGAAAATAAAAGTGTATAAGATCTTTATTTTAGTTAAAATTTAGTTAGGTAAGTTATGAGTAAATGGGATGCAAAAACTGCTTTGTACCTTCAGTATGCTGAGTACTGTAACATTGATAAATATAATGCTTAAAAGTTTACAGAGTGCTTTATGTTCTATCATATCCTTATACAAACCTTTCCATCTAGATTTTCTTGTCTCCACTTTATGAGGAAACTAAATAAAATCTCTACTTTATATGGGATTTACCCAGTGTCACACAGTTAGTAAGAGGTGAAATTGAGTCTTGACTGTAGGACTTAGGACTTTAAACCTTTTCTATATATGTATAGATTCACTATATCTAGGTACACACACACACATACATACATACACATACTGTACTGTATTACCTCTTTGGAAACTGGGAGAAAGCACTTTCATTTTAGTCAAGAACTTGTCTATTCAATTTGTTTACTACCTAAATACCTGCCTGCAATGTGCTAGGAAGACAGAACAAAAACCTGTACTGCCAGGCTTCCCTGGTGGCGCAGTGGTTGAGAGTCCGCCTGCCGATGCAGGGGACACAAGTTCGTGCCCCGATCCGGGAGGATCCCACATACCGCGGAGCGGCTGGGCCAGTGAGCCATGGCCGCTGAGCCTGCACGTCCGGAGCCTGTGCTCCGCAACGGGAGAGGCCACAACAGTGAGAGGCCCACATACGGCAAAAAAAAAAAAACCTGTACTGCCTTTTAAAGACTTTTGAGTATAGTCAGTAGATATTCATAATATAGTATAAGTGCCCAGGGTGCCTTCCAGCATAGCAGGACAATGTACTTGACCTGTGACTTCTGTGAAGACCCAGAAGGCTTTCAGGGAAGCGACACCTGAGTTGACCCTCAAGGAATGAGTAGGAGTTGACCTTGAGGATAAAAGTGTGCATTGCAAGTAGAAGGAAGAAAAGATATAGAAGGAAACAGAGATGTGACAGTGTGGAATGTTAACTGCAAGCAGTTATTCATTCAGTGAATAATTATGCCAAGCAGTTTGCTAGTCACTAGATATACAGTGGTCCACATAATAGACATGGTCCCTGCCTCGGGGAGCCTATAGTTTAGTGAGGGATTGGGAGTGAGGTGGGCTGAGAGGGCCCTAACAAAGATTGCAGATGGTATGAATTCCGTGGGCCAGTCACTTATCTAGATACTGGGATCCTAGCAGTGAACAAGATAGACAAGATCCTTGTTCTTACGGAGTTTGCCTTCTAGTAGATGATATAATTAATAAAAACTGAACAGAATATTTTCAGATATTTGCTATAAAGGGGAAAAACCCCAGGGGAATAGGATAGACAGTGATTGGTGGGTTGCTGTTTTTGATTGGATGATAGGGGAAGGCCTGCAATTTAAACTTAGATTTGAGATGGAGCTCCAGTCAGATGGGCCAGCGAGTATAAAGATCTTGTGGCAGGAGTGAATTTAGTAAGATTGGAATATAGAAAAAGGACCATCATACTCGAAGACTGCAGCACAGTAAGTTGGGAGTCAGAGTATGAGATGAGATTCAGACATAGGCAGGGGCTGGATAATATTCTCCATATAAGAAACCTTAAGGAATTAAAAAAGTATCCACCAACTATTTCTTTGGAAAGACCAGTAAGTTATATAAACCCTCGTGTGCCTGATCAAAGTAAAAAGTAGAAATATACAAGATTAGTAATGAGAACAGAGCAAGAAATCAAAATTATTATAAGGGGATAGTTTTGTAACTTTGTGGCCACAACTTTGAAACTGTAGGGGGAAATGGATCATTTCATATCAAAACACAAATCTCTAAAACTGACCAAGAAGAATTCAGACACTGGAGATTAATAAAAAGAATTCCATTAAAAAAAAAGAAAGCACCTGGTTATATATGTAAACAATGGAAAATGTGCAGCTGTAAAAAAGTGATAAAAGGTCTTGATGCACTATTGTGGAATGATCTCCAAATTATGTTGTTAAATGAAAAAAAAAAGCAAAGTGCACAGAGCAGTATTTATACTACCCTTCCATTTGTGCATAGAAGGGATTGTATATATGAGGGGATAAATAAGAGTGTGCATGTGTATATACACATATATATATATATCCCCACATACACACACATTTATATTTGGACTTCCTTTTATGTATGTACATAACCATAAAATATTTTGAAGTATACACTAGATACTGGTAACAGTGATTGCCTTTGCCTTTGGGTAGGTGAACTAGGTGGCTAAGGGATAGAGGTAGGAAGCAGTATTTATTATACCCCTTAATACCTTATAAATTTTTAATCCTGTGAATATATTACTTATTCAGAAACTAAGTGAATGAAAAAATGTTTAACTACCTGGTCCAGATGGTTTTGTAGTTTAAAAAAAAAAAAAAAAAAAAAAACTATTTCAGGGGCTTCCCTGGTGGCGCAGTGGTTGAGTCTGCCTGCCGATGCAGGGGACACGGGTTCGTGCCCCGGTCTGGGAAGATCCCACATGCCGCAGAGCGGCTGGGCCTGTGAGCCATGGCTGCTGAGCCTGCGCGTCCGGAGCCTGTGCTCCGCAATGGGAGAGGCCACAACAGTGAGAGTCCCGTGTACAGCAAAGAAAAAAAAAAAAACTATTTCAGACCATAGAAAAGTTTAGATAGAAAGCTACAGTACATCATTTTATTTATGCAGATACTATAATCTCAGTTCCAAATAAAAACCAATCTCACAAATAGTAGATTCCACCTAGTACTATATCAAAAGATTATTATAATACAACAAAATAGGGATATGTTATAAATGCATGAAGAGTTCAATTATCAAGAATTGTATGGATATAATTCTTTACAAAAACAATGAAAGAGGAGGAAATCACATAGTAATGTTGATAGATGCGCATGAGGAAGAGGAAGGCAGAAACAGCAGCAGTCTATGTCAACAACCTAGATGGAACAGGCTTAGTGTTACTTACATCAGTAGTTTATGTTTTCAGGTAACAGTCAGGTAATGATGTCCTGCAGTGTGCAGACTTGGAGGAAAAGAGGAAGTATTTGCTGTAGAGTGGTGAGGGCCTGAGCCATGATACAATAAAGTACATAATACAGTTTAAAAAGGTAGATGCGAAAAGTAACTAAATTATTACTTTAGCGCTTGTGAAGAGTTGAACTTTTAATTCTCCAGCTATAAAGACATTTTATTCTCAAGTATCCTGTAAGATTTGAGGTATATTAATATATTAGATTTTAAGATTAGTTTCTTTTTTAAAAAACTGATGTAAATCTCCTCAAAGTTCAGAACAAAGATAAGTAAAGGTAATTTTGGACAGTTTTATTGTACTCTTTATGCTTTAATGAAAAGGCTTTGTTGATTGCCTTAACCTAATTTAACCTACCCCCTGAACTCTGAGAGTGACAATGTAACCAACTACATCTGTGTGGTGCCTTTTAAGGAGCTGGGCCTTGGACTTAGTGAAGAGCAGATTTCAGAAGAAGAAGCACATAACCTTACAGATGGCTTCAGCCTGCCTGCATTGAAGGTAATCCATTCATGGATGAGAAGGGCTGAAGAAAAGATAGATGCATTTGGATTGTGCCTGTGCTTTCTGAACATAAATGGTGCACCTGTTTCTTTTGTTGTCTGCTGGATACCATTACCATAATAGCCTTACTGATGTTTTTGAAACTGCCTTTAAAGAGGGACAGCACTGTGAAGATTGGATGAAGAGTGGGAATTCCCTGGTGGTCCAGTGGTTAGGACTCTGCGCTTCCACTGCAGGGGACGCAGATTCCATCCCTAGTCAGGGAACCAAGATACCACATGCTATGCAGTGCAGCCATAAATAAATGAATCAATGAATGAATAGAGGAGATCCTTACGTTCTGATATTGAAATACTTTAAATTCTTACTGTAGGCATTTCTTGTATTAAATTAGAGTTTGAAGATAAATGAGTTTAGTAGGAACACAATATATGAGTGATTTTATTTACTAGCCATTTGTTTCAACAAACATGGGTAAAAAACATACAAGATCAGCATCTTTCCTTGGAAAATCTCCAAAATTCTTACATAGAACAAGAATTTTTTCATATATTAAAAACCACATAAAAGGATATATTTGACTACATAAGAATTAAACTTCTAAACTTTAAATGCTGTATATATATTTTTTTTAATTTTATTTATTTATTTTTGGCTGCGTTGGGTCTTCGTTGCTGCACGTGGGCTTTCTCTAGTTGCGGCGAGCAGGGGCTACTCTTCATTGCGGTGCGCGGGCTTCTCACTGTGGTGGCTTCTCCTGTTGTGGAGCACAGGCTCTAGGCTTGCGGGCTCAGTAATTGTGGCTCGTGGGCTCTAGAGCGCAGGCTCAGTAGTTGTGGCGCATGGGCTTCGTTGCTCCGCGGCACGTGGGATCTTCCCGGACCAGGGCTTGAACCGGTGTTCCCTGCATTGGCAGATTGATTCTATTTTTGTTTTGTTTGTTTGTTTGTTTGTTTGTTTATGGCTGCATTGGGTCTTCATTGCTGCGTGCAGGCTTTCTCTAGTTGTGGTAAGGGGGGGCTACTCTTCGTTGCGGTGCACAGGCATTTCTCATTGCAGTGGCTTCTCTAGTTGCTGAGCACAGGCTATAGGCGCATGGGCTTCAGTAGTTGCAGGACATGGGCTCGGTAGTTGTGGCTCACGGGCTCTAGAGCACAGGCTCAGTAGTTGTGGTGCATGGGCTTTGTTGCTCCGCGGCATGTGGGATATTCCCAGACCAGGGCTCAAACCCGTGTCCCCTGCATTGGCAGGCGGATTCTTAACCACTGCACCACCAGAGAAGCCCCAAATGCTGTATACTTTAAATGTAAATAAGCTCAGGAAAAAAATTGTAGTGATTTATAAACAAAAGGCTTGAATTCTTTCTATATAAAGAGCACTAAGGTACGTGAAACCTATTGAAGATAGGTCAGGTGTATGAATTGCCAGTTCACAAAAACCAGAAATGGCCAATAAATGTGATAAAAATTTTCAGCCTTACTAGTATTTTGCCAAGGATATTGAAAGTTGATAATACTCATTGTCAGTGAAAATTCTGAGAGACCTCACACCAGTGGTCAAAGTATAAACTGCTTCACTTTAGCTGTGAATACCAGTCTTCACAAAGGTATGTACCCTTTACGCCAGCAATCTTAAGCTCACAGATTCATCTCAGGAAGTAATCAAAGATATATGTTCATAATATTACTACAGCAGCAAATCTTCGAAATGAGTTAAAAGTTCAGTGAATTGAGATTGGTAATGAGATTTATGGTACATTCATTTAATGAACTGCTTTGGAGTTAGTAGTAGAAAAAAATAACACGAAAAAACATAAGTTAAAGCATCTTACAAAAACTAACTGTATGCATTGTAAGATTCCAGTAGTGTTTTTTAAAAGTCAAGCCAAATGTCTTTAAATTCCTTTTCAGTATTTAGCAAACTCCACTTAGATATTTTTTTATTTCTAGCCTTTAAACTTCACTTGATACCATGGAAATCAGTGCAAGTGTAGTTAACAGCATATTTTTCAAGATTCATTTTGTTTGGAACCGTATAAACTTTTACATCTTTAAAATTTTCAGATCCACGTAAAAGTTCTAGTTCTCCTGTTTGTTTTTCTTTCCAGTTACTTGAAATTTACCTTGATTTATTTTTAACCTCTTTCTAACCCATCTTAATAAATGGCATCATACAACTTATTAAGCTAGAAACCTGGGCACTATCCTTCTTATCCCTCTTTTTACCCTTCATGTATAAGCTATGAGTAGATTTTTGTGTTGGTTCCACCTTCAAAATACATTTCAAACTCATTCACTTTTTTTCATGTCATTTCCCACCATTCTAGTCCCAGCTGCCATCATTCTTACTGAGGCTGCTACAATAGTTTTCTTACTGGTTTCCTTAGTTCCCTAAAGTTTGTTTTAGAATGCAGTTTGACATTTAAAGTGCTTTAAAAATGATATATGCTTTAAATCAGTAATTCCACTTCTGCAAATCTTTCTTAAGGAAATGATTTCAAATATATTAAAGCTTTATATACCAGGTTGCTTATTAGCTTTGTTTATGATAGTGAAAAATGGAACACAGCCTAAATGTGCAGCAGTAGAGGAATAGTTGCGTGAATTACAGTATAAGTCCAACATGATGAACCATTGTATACCAGCTACAACTTGCTTATGAAGATTTTGTAAAAACTTGAAGAAACCAGTGAAACAATCAGGATACATAAATATATATTTAGTAACTCTGTGTTTAGAAAAAGACCATGAGAAAATACTAATATACCAATAGCTACTCTTTAGTGTGGTTGCACTATAGGTAATTCCATTTACTTCTAAATTCAGTATCATGACCATGCTTTACTCTATGGTGGAAATAAAGTTATTTTCAAAGAACAATTTGGGAGATTCTTAATGATGAAAAAGCAGGGACTTTGGAATTGAGCAGACATGGGTTTATATTTTAGCCCTGACACTGACTGGTCATTTGACCTTGAGTGAGTTGTTCTTTGAACTTACCTAATCTGTAAAAAGGAGTTACCATACCTGCCCTACAAGGTGTTAGATTAAATGAGAAAACATACAAAATACCTACAACAGGGCTTGTTATATAACAGTTAACCCAAAATGGTAATAGCTGTTACTTTTTTTTTTTTTTTTTTTTTTTTTTTTGCGGTATGCGGGCCTCTCACTGTTGTGGCCTCTCCCGTTGTGGAGCGCAGGCTCAGCGGCCATGGCTGACGGGCGCAGTCGCTCCGCGGCATGTGGGATCTTCCCGGACCGGGACACAAACCCGTGTCCCCTGCATCGGCAGGCGGACTCTCAACCACTGCGCCACCAGGGAAGCCCGAATAGCTGTTACTCTTTAAGAAGGATTTGGAGAAAGAATTATGGTCATATTTCTTAATTTCCCTTTTAACTTATTTTTTTGTTTACTCATCAAGATGTCTCAGTGATTTCCCTATTTCTTTATGCTTTTTAAAAAGCTTGTTAAATCCTGGATTATATTTTGGCCAAAGTACAGGCAGCAAAAAGAAACAGTGGGCCTCCTGGAGTCAGACTTTCTAGGTTTGACTCTCACCTGACTGCTAATGTGGACTTGAGCAAGTCGTTGTTTCTGCGTTCATAAAATGAGATAACCATAATGCTGATCACTAAAGGATTAAATATTTGCCAGTCCAATACCTGGGAGAGAGTAAGTGATTAATAAATGTTAGCTGATTTTTTAAATTGCATCTGACATGACCTACTCTAAACTGTGGGACTTGTTCGCTTGTTATCTCCCTACTCCACCACCAATGGTACTGGTTGTAGCTGGATCCTTTTTGCTCATCCATATTATTTTACAAGTCAGACAAACTTTAGTATTTTAATTCTGCTTTATTTTGACATATAACTAATCTATAACTAAACCTGATGATTGTGTTGCATTGTTACCAGGAATATCGGACTCCAAAAGAAGCCTATCTTGAGATTTACAGAGTTTATAAACTGCTGAAAATCCCTGTAATGTTCAAAAACTGTGTAGTGCCACCTTGTACAGTTGGCATTATATCCAGATAAAGAATTTTTAAATGGATTTTGTAAGTTAAATTTTAAAATTCTTTCTCAAAAGAGCAACACTAACTAAAGCTTTTTTAAAAATGTAGTGAAAGATGGTTTACAAATAAATCGGGGCCTCTTGTTTTCCTTTGTAATCTTCATTGTGTCCTCTAAAGAAAATACATTTTGGGGTTGTTTTTTTTTTAATTGTTCACATATCTTCCCTCAGGAGAACTTAGGAATTGCAAGTGTTGTATCTTTGAAAAGGAAAGAAACTTCCTAATTGCATCCTGAGGAGAGACATGTGAAATATCTAGTAGAGAGTCCTTATCCCTCTTTTTTCCTTAGTTTAAAACTTTAACTAGTTTTTTTATAAAATTATTATTATTATAAAGAGTGTATTTCCTGCTTTAAAAAACAAATCTGCATTTTGTGAAAATACTTTTTTATTTTTTGCCATGCTGCGCGTCTTACAGGATCTTAGTTCCCCGACCAGGGATCGAACTCGGGCCATAGCAGTGAAAGCACCGAGTCCTAACTACTGGACTGTCAGAGAATTCCCTGAAAATGCTTTATATCAAAATTTCCTAGTTGCCCATAAACTATGGTTATCCCCTCATCCAGGGCGGCTTCCCTTATTCAAAGAACAAACAGAAAAAAAATGTGTATTTCTGAGTTTTGGTTTAATTGGATAATATGGCAGTGATTAGATAATAAATTTGTCTTTTTTAAAATGGCAGTAAGCTATGTCAACTTGATTTTTTAATTGCTGTGGTCTGAAACTCTGGAATCATCCTTGTTAACACCTTTACTCGTAAACAGTCTGTCAAGAGATTCTGTCAGTTGTCTCACCGCTGCTTACCTCTTACCACGAACCACTATGGTATGAGCTACCATGTTAACTCCCACCTGGATTATTGCAGTAACCTCCTGTCTTCGCTTGTGCTCACCTCCCTATGATCTCTCAACACAGGATGATGTTGTTAAAGCTTAACTCAGATAATATTACTCTTCAGCTTAGAATCCTTCAGTGGCTCCCCATTTCTCTTAGAGTAAAAACCAGAGTTACTTCAGTAACTTCATCACTTACCACGCTCCCCCCTTGCTTACTATATCCCAGCCGCATGGACCTAGCTGTTCCTCAGATGTGCCAAGTATACTCCTACTACAGGACTTTGCACTTGAACCTTCTACTCCCTGGAACCCTTTCGTCATGGTGGCTCAGTTCCTTCAGATGAATTTAGAGACCCTCCTAGCCACCCCTCCTTCCCTTTGCTTCTCTCTCCCTCTTCTTCCCCTCACATACACACACACAAACCCACATTTGCTATTCCCCTTTTCTGCTGTATTTTCTCCATACCCCATCAGACAAGAAACTTATTTTACTTGTTAATATCTATTACTTCCCCTACTTGAATATAAGCTTCATCAGGGCAGGGATATTTTTCACTTTTGTTCTCTGCTGTATTATCAGCACCTAGAGTACTGCCTGGCACATCATAGGTGCTCAAGAAATATTTGGTGAATTAAAAAATAAAGGATAGGGCTTCCCTGGTGGCGCAGTGGTTGAGGGTCCGCCTGCCAATGCAGGGGACACGGGTTCGTGCCCCGGTCCGGGAAGATCCCACATGCGGCGGAGCGGCTGGGCCTGTGAGCCATGGCCGCTGAGCCTGCGCGTCCGGAGCCTGTGCTCCGCAACGGGAGAGGCCAAAACAGTGAGAGGCCCGCATACCACTAAAAAAATAATAATAAAATAAAAAAAATAAAATAAAAAATAAAGGATAAAGAAAATCATTTTAGTAACAAAATTTAATGGTTAAATAAGACTTGTGAGATACCTTGTATTTATATTTAAGAACCCCTAGATAGTGTATCTTCAGTGATTTAGAATTTTGGCCTTGCTCATTTAAAAAAAAAATGAGTTAATAGTAAAATAGGTTTACGTTAAATTATCTTAATTCATTATTTGCATAATTTTAAAATTCATTTAATAAAACAGTTTAAATAATGTCCATTTTCATGGTTATAAAAAATTGAAATCTAAATTATCCAGAGTGGTAAATTATCCTCTTTTTATTGTCTGCCAACTCCTGTTCAGACTACATTGTATTTGTTTGTTTGATATTGTCCTCTTGAATAGTACTATCTGGAGGAATCCTTTGCTGCCAGACTCTGGATGTGTCTTTTGAGAATGTGTGTTGTAGTTTTTCATGCCAGACATTCCTGAGTATGATCACTCTGGGACTGATTTTTATGTTTTTTCTTAGCTATTTCCTAGGCCAAAATAATCGTATAGTTTGAAGCCCAAACTCTGGCTCCATCAATGAGTTGTTTCTTTGGACTTACATAGGTCCATCATTCCTGC